CACGCCTTTAATCCTAGCATTCCAGAGGTAGAAATCCCTCTGGATCTCTGTGAGTTCAAAGCCACATTGGAAACAGCCAGGCATGGTGACTCACACCTTTAATCCCAGAAAGTAAGCCTTTAATCCCAGGGAGTGAGGCAGAAAGCAGAAAGATATATAAGGCGTGAGGACCAGAAACTAAAACATTTGGCTGGTTAAGCTTTCAGGCTTTCGAGCAGCAGTTCAGCTGAAAGCCATCGGGATGAGGACACAGAAGCTTCCAGTCTGAGGAAACAGGATCAGCTGAGGAACTAGTGAGGTGGGGTAGCTGTGGCTTGTTCTGCTTCTCTGATCTTCCAGCATTCACCCCAATACCTGGCTCAGGTTTGATTTTATTAATAAGACATTTTAAGATTCCTGCTACATCCCTCCATTTCCATGTTTAATGTTTTCATGTGAGACACATGTGGGAAGTTTTTTAAATAGTTTATTGACATACTCATTGCACATAGTACTTGGTTTAATGAAGATACTTTCATATAGGTAAAACATGTACTTTGGCTATATTCACCCTCACTCTCTCCATTTTCTCCACCCCCTGCTTGCTAGTCATTGTCATTCCCCAGTCTCACTTCTGCTTTCATGCCATATATTCATGAATAATTTGTCATGTGCAGTCTAGAATCCACAAGTGAAAGGAAACATGTTTGTCTGACTCTGACTTATATCATATAATGTGATGGTCTCCAGCTACATCCATTTTCCTGCAAACAACAGAATTTTGCTCTTCTTTATAGCTGGATAATACTCTATTTTGTGTATGTTTCATATCTTTGTCCCTAGGCTGACCCATAGCTGGGCTATCGTGAGCACTGCTGCATAAAACCGATGTGCAAGAATTTCTATGGAATGTTGACTCGGAGGCCTTTGTGTGAATACTCAGGAGTGGTTAGCTGAGGCACATGGGAGTTCTCTTTTTGGTTTTTCTCAGGAACCTGCAGAGTGGTAAGTGTTTGTTATAAATTTAATTTCTTTGATAAATCCTGGGATATTTAAATAATGTATTTGTGATTATATCAGTGCTCCTGAAAGTGTAAATTTAATCCTCATTAATGAACTTATTGTAATAAAACTATTTGTAAATTCCTTGTATTACTTTTAATCATTAGTGAAATCCACATGAAACCCCTCTTCAATCTCTCAACTGCTACTGATAATTTGTGGACTTTCTCCTTTATCTTAACTAGTCTGAATAAAACAGACTTTGTTTTATTAACATTTTATCCAGTTGACCTCCAGGCTTGTTGATAATCCACATTTTTGCTAACATTTGTTTATTACTTCTTTCTTCCTATGATTTACATTTGATCTGTTCTTCTCTTTCTAGTTTCTTAAGACTTCCCTGGTTCTTAAGCTTGTCTTCTATTCAAATGAACACCCCAAAGCTATGGCTTTCCCTCCAGGCATTACATTATCTACATTCCCCAGATTAATATATTTCATCTTCATCATCATTCACTTTGAGTGCCTTGAGGGAAGACAGCCTGGGAGCTTCATAAGCTAAACATACACCTACCACCACATTATTTTACTTTTAGGTGTTTACATAAAATAAATTAAAACGTTGAGTTATGAAATTAAAACACTGGGAATATGAAAAAACTGTACATGAGTGTTCATGACCGAATTGCTCATAACTGCCAATAACTGAGACCTCTCCATGCCTACCCACTGGCATGAGAATTAATCACCCACAGGTTATGATGGAAAATTGTCACAAATTTTTCCAGTGTGCTGCAGGTGTGTGTGACATGGATAATCAAAGGCTCAGACTGCCTGATTTCACTCACACTGCACTTTTTGCAGTTCTAGGAAATGCAAATTAGTCTGTAGTACCAGAAAGCACCAGTGGTCTCTTGGGGGAGAAAGGAGGCAAGTGTGTAGCCCTGAGATACTCACTATGTGGACGGCAGTGAGGAGCCCATGGGTGTGTTCTAGAGTACACTAAACTGTGTACTCTAACTGTGTGGTTATCAAACGTCAATCAAATCTGCTTAAAGCTGTTTTAAAGAAAGAAAAGGCCACCCCAAGGAAACTCCAGACCCCAAACCACAAAGCAGAAACACCCTAACTGCTTCCTCTGACCAGCATTTGGGCAGTGCTGACCCTAGTAACCAGTCACTGGTAATTTGCCACACTGGAAAAACCAACACAGGAAAATCGTGTTACTATCTTAAGAGGTGCAAAGAATAAATAGATAAATAAATAAAATTCAGTGTCTGTTTATGATCATAAGTAAACACAACCAGGTGTTTGTGAACCAGAGGGCAGAGGGAAGCTCCTCACTCATCACACCCACCCACACGAACATGCTTCTTGCTCTTCTAGATCTGACCGACTCTGCACCAAAAGCTGGAAACCTGCCCAGAAAGATGAGCAAAAAGCATGCCAGAGGGTTAGGCGTGAGTCACAACCAGATAATGTGACTGAAGTAGAAATGTCAGGAGAACACACATGAAAGCTAGATGGCACCACAGAGTTCAGCCTGCAGAAGACCAGGGAGTCAGCCATGCATCTTTGCATGAGCCACACAGAAAATGAGTTCCAGCAGGTCCACAAAAATAGCCAGTATGTGAGAATTGGCCCCAAATATGTGAGACATCTTTATTCAGAAAGCTGAGAGACACTAAAGGGAGTGTAAATAAATGTAAAAATGCATCAAGGTGATGGGCTGGAAGTCTCAATCTTACAAACTTACAAAGATGTGGAATTTTGAGTCCACAAACTGAGAATTTGCATGGGCAGGAATAGCCTCTCTGCCTAAGGAGCTAGATTTGGAAGCATGTTTGAGACTTGGTATGTTCACTGGGGTCTTCCCAGGAGTAGAGAGGGTAGCAAGCAGAGAACAGATTGGGGTGGGCCTCTTCTTGCCTTACTGGGTATTCCCCTAACATGGGCATGAAGAAGAGCGTGCAAGTGTAGACTCTAGAAAGAGACAGAGAAAAGGCAGGTCTTGGAGCTGGGGCTTCAGCATTTCTGCTTCTTGTATAGAAGGGTGGAACTGTTTTAGTGCTGATCTTAGAAGCCAAGAGAGAATGGAGAAGCAGAGCAGAGGAAAAGTTTGGACTCTAGAGAGAACTAGGAAAGACCAGGACACCGTGCAAAGTTTCAGGGGGCCTGTTGGCAAAGATAAGGTCACAGGAATCAGGAAGTTGCTCCCCACCTTGTGGCTTCCTTCTGAGAAATGGGGTTGGCTAAGAGTGAGAGAGCATGTTGGTGTAGGCCTGGAGACTGGGGCAATGGTGGGAAAGGGTGCTGGAGGCTGTACTCCCAGTCTTGAGTTCTCAGTGGGAGGGGGTTTGACTGGGGAGAATGGCCTGAGAATTAGGCGGTAACCCAGTCTCTACACATTCAGGCCCAGCTCCAAACAGCCCCTACATGTACCACCACCACCCCCACCCCACTGTAAAGCTGCCCTTTATCAAAACCTATGACACCTCATCCTCACACCCGAGACCCCTGAAGAAACCGAGAATGTGCTGGATCTGGGATCTGGAACCCAACAGACGTGTCTGAGGAACAAATGAGCAACTAACATTTGTAAAACGATTTTAAAGCAGGCATTATGGAGCCAAGGATGCCGGCCCTAGGCAGTCCCCGGGGTTTGGACTGCATCAGCAATCAGACCCAGGACCATGAGATAAGTGGCAGGAACCCTAGCTACAGGAAGCTGGTCCACTACCCTTCTGCAACTGGAATGGCCTCTCTTCTGTCTGCACATGCTGGGGCGGAAGCCTCCTTGTCAGACCCAGAGACCTTCCCCTCACTACCCACAGCCCTCTGGCCCCTTAGCTTATCACCATGGAGCTTCAAGCCAGACCTACCCATGGGGCACACTTGAAAAGATACCTGCTATGCCTGTCATGGTCTAGGGACAGAGACAGTGCACCTCAGCCCCCAGCAAGGGCAGAGCCTCGAATGTGGTCCTCCCAGGGCCCCGGTGCTAAGGCAGAGGGTCCTGTGTCTCCTTTAATAGCTCATCCAATGCTATGATCCTCAAAACAGACTGCCGAGGGATCAGGAAAGCGGTGATGGGACATAATGGCTTTGAGAGGGACCCATACCCATGACCCTGATCCTGAAGTGGAGCAGAGGGCCAAGGGGCCCAGGGACCCCCAGGTGATTTGCTCTTTAGACTCCATACTGGGTGTTAAATGGTCTGTCTGCTCATGTCATGCCTCCCATGCCAGCCCTGCCCCCTGAGGTCTTTGGCTGGAGTAAGTGTCCATCTTCTCCTGGTACAGCCAGTCTGGCTGACAAGCGTGGTCTCAGGGGAACACATGAGGATAAGGTGAGAGCAACCTACCAGAAACCACCCAGGGACAGGCATAGGGAGTGGCCTCTGCTTCTTCCTCCTAGCTCCAGCCGCCAGCTGGGCAAGACCTCTCCTGTTAGTTGCTCTGCCAGGAGCCAGAAGGGCTTCCCACACACATGCCCTGTCTCTTCCCTAGAAGCACGCTTGGCTGAGGCATGATGGGGCAATGGCTGCAGCTTCCCAGCTCTCAGCTGCCTTCCCCATGCTGAGGGTGTAGGGTGGGGTGGAACCTGAGAACACAGGGTCTCAATTCCCACCCGTGTGGAGTGACAGGAGCTCCTGTTTCGTCTCTGGCCTTTGATACTTGTCTCTGATGTGAGGGGTCTCTTTTATTGAGTGGGGTCGCATGTGCAGCCAAACTCTGGGTTTGTATCTTCAGTGTTCTGATCTTGTTGCGACAGACCTAGACAGACACGGAGAAGCTGAGCGCCATCCAAGGACAAACCCCCCACCTCCCTCTCCTGGAGTGCAGTGCCGGGGCTGGTTTCATCTGAGATCCAGGGGGTCCCAGGAGCCTACAGTCAGACACCCAGTCATCTCTACCAGTCTTGGTCTCCATCTGCCTCCAGAACCATGAGCCACCATCTCTCACACTGAGCCCCTCTACATCTTCAAGAGTAAGGTCCCCAGAAGCAACACTGGCTCTTCCGGAATTCCTGAACAAAGCCATGAAGCCCTTGGCACCTTCTGGGTGAGCTGGCAGTCAGCACAGACTCAAAGCCCCAGATCTGCCACCTAACCCCATCCATGCAGGTGAGAGCTGGGAGGCGGGTGTACAAGTGCGTCTATGTGGACCCATGTATGCATATAAGAATCTGTGTGTGCCTGTATATGGCTGTGTGTATGTATCTACATGTGCTTATTTATATATGTGCCTGAGTGTGCACCTGTATTTGTGCCTTCATGTGTTTGTGTGCCTCTGTGCATCTGTCTATGTGTGCACCTGCATGTGCACCTGTATGTGTCTGTGTATGCATCTGCATGAGCCTGTACAGATGCTTCATGCATTTGCATATGCCTCACCCTGGCTGTACACCTGTATGCACATGTGTATGTGTGTGTGTGTGTGTGTGTCTGTGTCTGTGTCTGTGTCTGTGTCTGTGCATGTATGTGTGTGTGTGCTTGTGTGTGTATCATACATGTCAGTATGAGTCTGAGCTGTAGCTTAGCTGAGCAGTAAGCCTGGGGCTGACTTCTGGTGACCATGCTCCTCCTGGGCAGATGTCCATGTGAAGGGATAACATATCTGTGTTTTTAAGATCACCACTGTTTCAAAGCTGTGTTTGTCCACTGGCTTCTGTGGGAAGTGGTGGTGGTGGTATTGAGTCTGAGAGCTTGGTGTTTGTCCTGGGCTATCTGTGTGTGCCAGAGATTTGCCTGGGGGCATGTCTGTTTATGTGGCAGGAGTCTGTTACCCTTGTGAGGCCCTGTACTCAGTATGTGTACACGTGGCATGAAGGTAAGACTAGATGTCCTGTATGTGAACCTAAGTTTAACTATAGGGTTTATGATTAGGTCTTAGGTTTGGGGGAACATGTATGTTACATGCAAACTTCCTGGGTACCTGTCCATGGTGTCGCTACTGCTCTGGCCTCAGCATTCCTGGGTCCCAGCAGCTTCCAGTTTGTCTCCACCTGTCCATGTGGCAGAAACTTAGGCTTGCTGCCGTGAATCCAGCAGTGCTTCCTGTCACATAAAATGACAGCTGCTGCTTCTTTCAGAGAAAGAAACAGCTGGAAGAGGGAGGTATTTGTCCCATGCCCACAGCTGATGGGCAACAGATCTAAGCAGAAAGCAATTGTTGTGGGTTGCAGACTCTGCATCAGGGAAATGTCTGGCTTTTCCTAGCTCAGCTCCCAGACAGGCCACTTAGAGATAGCAGCATCAGTGGTCCAGCTGTGCAAAATAATGGTCTCTGTACCAACCCAAACCACCACATCTGGCCGTCTAAAATCTTCCCAGACAACTAGGCCTAACCCTGCTTAGACTGACCCTTTGTACCCATGCTGGCAGTGAACTTGTCCTGTTCAGCCAGGTCAGTAGCAGTCCTGATCTTCCCTGCTCTATGGAGCCAGCAGGGCAGGTATAACCTGCATGGTTCCCTATTGTTAGAGCATGCCTTCCACCCGTTCTGTGAGCAGATGTGGCGGGGATGGTGTCTGCTATGGCTGTTCAGGTAGCCCAGGGGGAGTCCCACCATAACCCTGATTGACAGAAAAATCTGGGGCTTGCAGGGAGGAGGTGTCCTGTCCAAAAAAAAGGGTGGGATGTGAGCCCAGCTCCTGTCCTAGAATTCTGCTACATCTGTGATCTCCAGGAGAAAAACTACCCATCAATTATCCTCCTTGCTCAGGCACTGAGCAGCATGCTGAGATATGTTGGAGGCACAAAATTCTTGGTGCAGTAGAGAGGGTACTTAGGAAGCCCTAGGCAAGGCTGAAAAGCCACCCTCTCAGGAGCCCGTCATGCATTCTTACTCCAAAAGCCACTTCGTGGGTTGTAGAACAGAGAAGATGCCCTGGGAGGATCTTTTTGTTGACTAGCACCAGAGGCCCCTACAGCAGCATCCTCTCTACCCCAGGCTCAGTCCCGAGGCTTAGCTTGAGCCCTAGTCTGAGAACACCTTCCGGGGACACCTGGGAACTGCAGAGTACGGAGTGGCTGGGTTCTGTGCCGGTCACCGGCTGTGTTTATTAACAGCACTCTAGAGACAGAATGAAAATGGAGAAAAGTCTGGAGGTTGATCCCCAGCTACACTGGCCTAATGTGTTCTCTGAGAAATAAACCAGTGTGTTCAGCAAACGAGCCACACTTTCCTGTGCAGTCATGTGAGGATGCAGCAAGGACAGCCACGACACTAGCTATGGAAACAAGCAGAAGCTTTTCCAGCCACTCCGAGTGAATAGGTTTATCTGTGTATTTGTATCTTAATCCCTGTGTGTGCATGTCCATGTGGGTGAGTGCAGGCGCGTACATGAGCTTCTGAGAGTCTCCTATCTCTGCCTCCCGTCTCTCCACAAGAATGCTGGGATTACAGGTTCATGCTCCTGTGTCCAGTTTTACATGAGTTCTGGGGGTCCAAACTCAGATTCTCACGCTCATTCAACAAGCACTTTACTCATTTAAACCATTTTCTCAACCCCCAGCACGTGTACTCTTCCATAAGTGCAAAGGCCTCGACTAAATGCAGCTGCATTTCGGAAGGCCTGGGCTAGCCTGGGAAGGCCCTGAGCCAGCAAAGAGGGATGATCCCTCTCCTCAGCCGGGCAGAAAAGAAAGCTGACTTCTACCTTCTGTGTGACGGTCTTTCTAGCAATTCCGCCCTCAGTGGGGTCTCTGAGTGCCGGCAGTGCTGCAGGGCGAGCTGAATCCTGGGGCAAATCCTGCTGAGCCACCACCACTCTTGCGAGGCCTTGCCCTTTCTACTGACCACACATCCCCTCTGGTGACCCCAGACTTCCCTCCTTGTTACCTTTCCTCAAGCCTGGCCACTTGCCCTAAGACGTCCCGAGCCCCTTCTCCCGATACTGATGGCCCCTATTCACTCATTCCTGAGCCTAAAGTGACCCCAGCCACAGCCTCTCCCTAATTCGGGGCATGTGGCCTGAGCCTAGAAAAGCCAGCCTAGAGTTGGAGAGTGTCCCAGGCCACCATCCCGGTTGTTATTTGCTACTTCCTATAGCCAGGCCTCAGAGATAGCCTCACAATGCCAAGATATGCCCTCCAGGGTGGATGGTATTTGTCTGATACGTGCTGAGCTGAATTGTCAGTCCCAAGAAGCAAGCCTAGATGCTACAACTAGTGTGAGCCAAGCTCTCAGCAGCAGTGGTGGGGGACCGGCATATGAGGATGAGGTCTCTTCTGTCTCCAAGGGAACTCAGCTCGAGGGGCTGCTGGCCTCACCCATACCTAATTCTTCTCCCTCTGCTCCCTCAGGTGGAGTCGTGGCCAACCATGTCTTTCAGAAGCAACAGCTCAGATGTGACTGAGTTCATCCTGGTAGGATTTCCAGGCTCCCTGGGGCTCCACCTAAGCCTTCTAGGGCTGTTCCTGCTGGCTTACACGCTGACCATCACAGAGAACCTGCTCATCATCACAGTGATCCGCACCAGTCCCTCACTGCACAAACCTATGTACCTCTTCCTCAGCAACCTGTCCTTCCTAGAGGTATGGTACATCTCTGTCACAGTGCCCAAGATGCTGTTCAGCTTGGTATCACCCAAGTTCCAGCGCATCTCCTTCACAGGCTGCATGGCACAACTGTACTTCTTCTTGGCGCTGGCCTGCACCGAGTGTGTGCTCTTGGGTGTCATGGCCTATGATCGCTATGTGGCCGTCTGCAACCCCCTTCGATACTCGGTCATCATGAGCCCTGGTCTCTGCAGCCTACTGGCTGGTGGTTCCTGGTTCTCGGGCTTCACCATTTCCCTGGGGAAGGTCTTCTTTATTTCTCGCCTGGGTTACTGTGGCCCCAACATCATGAACCACTTCTTCTGCGATGTGTCCCCTCTACTGAACCTCGCCTGCTCCGACATGTCAGTTGCGGAACTGGTCGACTTCCTCCTGGCACTGCTCATCCTGTTGGGGCCGCTGGTGTTGACTGTCTTCTCCTACACAGCCATCCTCAGCACGGTGCTGCGCATGCCATCCGCTGGCGGCAGGCAGAAGGCCTTCTCCACCTGCGCCTCGCACCTGGCCGTGGTGGTCATCTTCTACTCGGCATCCCTCTTCATCTATGCCCGGCCACGCGCCATTTACTCCTTTGACTACAACAAGCTTGTGTCGGTCGTCTACACAGTGCTCACACCCCTCATCAACCCCATCATCTACTGCCTACGGAACAAGGAAGTCAAGCAGGCGCTGCACAAGGTGCTGCACAGAGCAGCCCAGGCTCTGAGAGCCTCCTCCTAGGAGGAGCCACGCCTCTCCAGACCTGAACCTGCTAACCAGTTCACCAGAACCGAATTGGAGGAGCAGGCCGGTTGGCACACCCCCCCACCACCACCACCAGTCCCTGACTCCTGCTTAGAACAACACAGCCAGCTGCCACAACATGGCTCTCAGGTCCCAGGCCAGGACCCTTTCAGGATGCAAAGTCTGCGTTCATGTGAGAATTCTTTCCAACCAACCGTGGTCAGCCTGTAGCTGCAGCCTCTCTCACCTGAGGAGAGCAGAACAGACCATGGCACACTGGATTCCAGATGAAGATGCCAACACACACAGATCTTCTAGCTCTGCATACCATACAGGGGTTGCAACAACCAGCAGCAGCCTTGACCTCCACAGTTCCAGTGGCTTCTGCTGGGAGGTTTGTCCTCCAGCAGACGGTGCCTCATGGTTGCAGAGGGTAATAGGAGAGGAGAACAAACGGCTTGGGAAAGAAGACAAAGCAGGTACACCTGGAGAGACTGAGAATACTGCTAAGCCCACCACCCAACAGACCACAGCACCTATTGCCCTGAAAGAGCTAGGCTGCCTGCTACAGGGCAGGTGTCTTCAGAAGACCCTGACCCCAGCCAGGGTCCAGCCGTTAGCGTCCATGCTGGTTACAGACTTGGCTCAAGGGGCTGACCAGGGATCCCAAAACCTCAGTCTCTGTTGGAGGAGACTTTGGTCTTCTCCTCTTGAGGGCTAAGGACCGTGGCGGCCCCAGACTCCATCTGTCACATGGCTACTAATTCCTACCAAATGTGCAAAGGACTTCAGGCAATATGTACCTTTTAATGCCACCATGTTTCTACAGGGATCAGAGGTTCTGCGGACTCATGTCACCCTCACTGCAGCCCTTAGCCCAGCTGTATGTGGGTCAGAAGTTGTGTGGCATTCTGTGTTTTTTGTTTTTTGTTTTTTCTGACAATGATTACAGGCAGTGCTGGCAAAGCCACAGAAACCTATCGGTCCACCTGAACTACCGATACTCAAAAGCCCTGTGTGTCACTCTCAAGACTGTCATGAAGCACACAAGACATATCAAAGCTTCAGTCGGCATCTAGATACAGTGCTCAGCTGTGTAAAACAGGTATGCTAAATGACAGCCAGCTCCTGGAGCAGGGGACTCACAGAGTCACATGTACATGGAGTGTGGGCATATGAAGACAGTCTTCCAAGTCCTGGGAGATGGTCTCAACTGCTCTGGAGCTGACACATGGCCTGAGGGTCTGGGGTGCTGTTTGTCTATAAGGGAAATTATTGAGAGCTTGTGGCAAAAGGCCATGGGAGTATACAACAGGTGACAACTAGTGTTCAAAAGGTCAACCTATCAGAACCAAGGGTTCTGGTAAAGAACTAAGCCATCACTCAAGACGTGTTGGAGTTATTGCCTTTTGAATGAATTGGCTGTTTCTTGTTGCAAACTTCTTATGCAATTACAGCTATGAGCTCCCCATTACCATGCATTTTCATAAAATGTTTATATGTAATCTCATGATTACATCTCAATCTTATGGGCACATATATCTGCGGGTGGTCAGGAAGATGAATTTTTCATTTAGCTGTATAATTTTGATATATAGAAAATATATTAGAATATGCTTCATCGCCAGGCCCGTTGTCCCATGAGACTGTAGACACTTAAGGCCTGCTTTGTAACTTTTGCTCAGACTAACACAGAAAATAATAATCTCTCCTCCGTCTAACACAAACTGCACACATTTAGCTCCTTTTTACATCAGAGCAAGTTCAAACTAGACTAAAGGCCTTTGTAAATAGATCATAAGCTTAAAACTTTACAGTTACACACAAGGTCAGAGTCTCAGGTATCTCGCCAAGTCTACTAACACAAAAAAAAATGCAGAATAACCTGCCAATTCTTCACTTGCCAAGTCTGCTGATAAAAAGCTGTGTTTCAGAGTTTGTCACACTGGGCACCACATCCCCTCCTTCTGGTCCTGAGACCTTGGAACCTTGAGTTACCATGGTAATGGCTGTGCTCCTTATCCTCTATTCTAGCAATGTGCTATGACCTTGAGGATTTTGAAACTTCTCTCAGGATTGCAATGAGTCTCTTGTGAGAAATGTAAGGAGTCAGGCAAGAGAGAAGCTAAGAACGAGAGCTGAAAAGAAGCTGTAGACTCAGAGAAGCAGGAGAACAAAAAGAAGAGCAGAGAGATCAGAGGCAGAGTTGAAGCTCCCTTAGAACAATGACGTGATGGAGCATGGTGTGTGTAGATTTATTGATATGCCCTCAGATAAGTAGATTCATTTGATATTCACCAGATTAGATTTCTGCCACTTGTAGCACCTTCTCTGGACTCTGGGAGAAAGTTTTTCAGGGAAGGCACCCGAAGGGCTTTTGATAGGAAATTTGAGCAAGAGAAAAGGAAGGGAGGAGCAAGGCCAAGCAAATTAGGAGCTCTAGGCAGACACTGTCCCGAAGTCTTCTGCTGGTCAGTCAGCACCTGGCTGATGAAAGACTCATCTCTGTATTTGCAATAGGGAGGTCAAGGGCCCTGTCTCTGCATGTCCAGGCACAGACACCTTGCCCTACAGACTGATCAATGAATGCCTCTAGATCAAAATCCACAAGCACACCCTCTTCCAAATACCTGTAAACTAGTCTTCCAAACGTGCAGAGTAGAGACTGACTTGCTGATGCATCATTTCATTAGTAAAGTATGTGAAGTGTCCATCCTGTCTAGGTGCTGCCCAACCCCACGGAGAGCAGAGAATCAGTCAGCCCACAGCCTGGCTCCAACACTGACAGCCAGAGCCTGGTGCCTGCTTCCAGCAGGGTCTTTTGGGTGCCAGGACCCTGGTTGGGACATGTGTTCTTGGGGATGGACAGGTGTTTGTGCAGCAGTACAACTGAACATAGAGGCCCACGGGCCCATAGAGGGGACAGTGCCGATCCCAGAGCCAAAAGACTTTGGGCTCAGGCTGACCAAAGTCTTTGAATTCTCCAGAGCTGACCTAGTCTCTCACTGAATATAGAGTCACCAAGTCACGCTGAACAGAGCAGGGACATGGTCAAGTTTTCTTTCTAGAAAAACACCTGTGAGGAGAGGAGAGGGGAGGGGAGGAGAAGGGAGGAAAGGAGAGAGGAGGGGAGGAGAGGGAAGCGGAGAGAGAAGGGGAGGAAGCAAGAGATAAGATATGGAGAGAGGACCAAAGACAGAACTGGAGACAGTCAAAGAGAAAGATGCAGAGGCAGCACCATCCAGCACTGGTTGACTGTTGAGAGGGAGTAAAAATTAAAATCTATGAGCCGGGCATAGTAATGAACGCTTTTAATCCCAACCCTCAGGAGGCAGAGGCAGGTGGATCTCTATGAGTTCAAAGCTAGACCGGTCTGCAAAGCGAGTTCCAGACTAGGTGGGGCTACACAATGAGACCTTGTCTCACCAAAAAAAAAAAAAAGAAAAGAAAATTCAGTTCTATAAATGACACACCAAGAATCAACTCAGCAAAGGGTGGTAGGGAGCCCTGCTCAGGGTAACACTAGCTCATTCCCTGGTGATTCAGGAAGCAGCTGAAGATGTAAGGACAGGGTCAAGACAGTCCCTGGGAAGAAGCTAAGGGCTCCCGGAAACAACCTTATTCCTATCCCAGACCCACCATGGAGCCAAACCCTGGGGTTTCTCTGACTCTGTCCCATCCTACAATTCATCCGCTACAGAACCCCAAATGATGATCACCAACCACCACACTGAAACCTTTTCTGGTGTGCGCAGACTCTGGTCTTCTTCAATTGAAGACACTCCGTAGCCTGGGCCCCAGTGAGAGGCCCTCTTCTCTGCCCCAAACCACCACTGGGTTGAAAGTCCTGCTCCTCACCCGCCTGCTCACCCCTACAACATAACCCACCATGAACTATTAGGCCTCCGATTGTGCATAGGATGAACAATCTTATCCAGACCAGTTACCCCAGCCCTCCCCTTGGGTTCCCCATATGGCATACATCACTCACTGGGTATCAGTTCGGGCCATCTGTTTCTATTGTCCCCAGTTACCTACATCTGAGTATCCTTCACTTGGATCCCCTCCCACCAACTTGTTTCCAAGTGGCATGACAAGATATATGCCGGGCAGTGGTGGCGCACGCCTTTAATCCCAGCACTCGGGAGGCAGAGCCAGGTGGATCTCTGTGAGTTCGAGGCCAGCCTGGGCTACCAAGTGAGTTCCAGGAATGGCGCAAAGCTACACAGAGAAACCCTGTCTCGAAAAACCAAAAAAAAAAAAAAAAAAAAAAAATATATCCCATAGCCGGGTGGTGGTAGCACACGCCTTTAATCTCAGCACTTGGGAGGCAGAGCCAGGCAGATCTCTGTGAGTTCAAGGCCAGCCTGGTCTACAGAGTGAGATCCAGGACAGGCACCAAAACTACACAGAGACACCCTGTCTCAAAAAACCAAAAACCAAAAAAAACAACAACAACAACAAAAAGATGTATCCCATAAATCAGCCTGACTCCAGTGAGTATCAGGTCTCCCAAACTGTCAGATCCCATGAGCTTCTCTGGAAACACACATTCTGTTCATCTGCTGTCCAGGATGGATATGCCCAATAGAAAGCAGAGCCCTGTGAGGATGGGGAAATGGATGGTGGGAGCCCATGGTATAGAAGGAGAACAGAGACTGGTGAATGATTGCTGTCTATCCCAGAAGTTTCTCAAAGAATGGAGGTCACTGTGAAATGTCTTTCTGTATGCTGTGAATATGTGTTGCTCGGACTGGTTGATAAATAAAACTGTTTGGCCAATGGTGAGGCAGAATAGGGTGAGGTGGTACATTCGAACTGGAGAGAGGAGAAGGAAAGGAGAGTGGGACAGACACTGTGAGCTGCTGCTAGGAGAAGCAAGATGTCAAAGTACGGGTAAGCCATGAAGCCACGTGGCAACGCATAGATTAATAGAAATGGGCTGAGTTAAGTTGTAAGAGATAGCTAGCGAGAAGCCTGAGCCATTAGGCCATACAGTTTGTAAATAATATAAGCCTCTGTGTGTTTACTTGGGACCAAGCAACTCAG